CAGCTTGTCTGCTGGCTGGCTTGTAAAACCCTGACAAGGCAGGGGAGCCATCCTCCTCTTAGGTCTTAAGGGAACTAAAACTGATTCTGTTCTTACTGAAATGTTGTCGCATTGCTAGTCATAAGTTATGTTTCCCCTGATTTCTACATTTTCTTTTCCTGATCACATTTCCCCCAATTGACATAAGTTTAAGCAGATAGTTTCATTTTGGGTCATAGGTACTGCAATCAAGGATCTGAATGAAATTCCTGGCAAAATACGGTAATTAGAAGCACAGTGAAAGCCGAACCAAAATGTTCCAGTCTTCCACAACACTAAAACGCAGTCTGGTTAATTTCCAAATTATATTTGGGCTCAACATGCAAGGGTTTCTTTTTCATATAGCCAAAGAAAATAGGACTAAAGATCATTACAATAACCACACAAGACTCGGAATGTAATTATAAAATAAACCATAACCTAGCAGGCAAATTATTTTAATGTGTCTCAAGAATTGAATATGCTCTATGGAATTAAAAACAAAGAAAAAAGCAATGTGCAGAAAATTAATTAAAAAAAGGTAAGACAGAAAAAAACTTTGCATGTCATAAAATTACAAATACAAAAGCAACAGATTAACAAAAACACACACAGTTACAGATTTCAGTAACATTAGTAACCAGAACAACCCCAAAGAATTACTTAATCGTCAGATATTTTACTAATTTTGAAAGGTGGTTGGTGCCTGATGAATAACTTCAATCAATCCAACGGACTCAACTCTTTCTTCCATTGCAAACAAACCTGTTAAGATGGCTTCAAGTAACTTTGAAAACGTGGAATTGCTTTTCTCAAAGAAAATCAGCATGGAAGAGTTTATCCCCTCTGCCCCTCCACCACCAAAAGTTTTACATTCGTTCGACTTTTTTAACTAAGGCAACCAAACGACAATTTCTTGAGACCCCAGAACACTCTCAGAAGCCACAAGTCCTATCTGGGTAAAAACCAAAGAAATGAACAATTTCCAAAGCCGAGGACAATGATTCTACAAAGTACAAGGACAGTTCTTATATTTCATGTTAAGATTTCTTTAAAAGGAGAGGTGGAGGGGAGTACACCAGGACCCCAGCCACACTCCGGGGTGAGAAAGGACCCATATGAGAAAAGTGATATATGGATCAGTCCTCAGGTGTCTCTTCAACTCTGCACACACCACTGAGGTAGGAGCTTAGTAGGAAATGCAGAACACTATAAGGGAGTCAAACTGCCCTCTTGTTCTGTTGGGGGCCTAAGACAGTCTTTCTCACAGGCCACGTGTGACCTTACAGAATTCAAAAGTTGTACCAGATCACTGCCCGTGGAGGAGGACAAGGTCCAAGACACAGCTAAATGGGGCAAGATCCTGCTGCTGACCACAGGACATTTGTTGTCAAGGACAAACCCAAGGGGATAGGGAGGGGGTAAGGTGGAAAACCCCAGCAGGCAATCTATAAAACAGTTATTAGCAAATTTTATCAAAAATATCAAAACATTTCAAAAAACTCTAAAAACTGCCAGGCTTGGCAGATGCTTAGGTCAGGTTTTCCAAGTGCCTGCAGAGCTGCACAATGTGACACTACAGGGGTTTGTCCTGCCCATCCCTCTGGGGACACCCAAGATGTCCATACCACAGCTGTAGCTGCCCCTCTAGGTTTGGGACAGTGGTCTGAGATTCTAGCCAAAGCTCAGAGAGCCACAAGGCCCATGAGATGCCACCTTGGCTGGTGCCAGCTGAGCCCTGTGCCGTGGAGGAGGAGGGTTGGGGTGGATGTGGAGGGCCTCCTACTTCCCACGTTGCTGCAAGTCACCAAAAGGTCACTCTGGGCTTCAGCACAGGGGTACTTTGAACCACAAGTTTCACTCACCTGAAGTCCCCAAGCGTGCCCCTTTGGCATTTGGGCTCCCACCCAAAACTGAGCACCCCTTAGGGTTTGCTTCTGGGGTCTCTGCTAAGTCACCCTCAGGTCACCTTGTCATTTGGAGCAGGGAGAGGAGCATTCAGAACAAATAAAGACACACACGTGGTTCCTAGTAAGAACCAGATTCACAGGTCCCACCTGGGAGTCTTACTAAAATGGTAGAATGTTAAAAATATCAGTTGAACGATAAGCACAAGTAAAGTGGTGAGACAATATACATGTATTTTAAACAACAGAAGGACCACTATAAGTAACAAGGTTCTTCAGCTTTTCTACTCTCCTTCCCTTCCTTCTGTCTATTATATACATTTATGTCTTAAGCCAAACCAGGTTCCAACTTGCATGAGGGCAAACCCCAAACCTCTAACTAAAATGAAGTTAAAACTCTAATTCTTTAAAAGTGAAGAAAATAAAAATCTGAAATAAAAGCCCACCACACTTATTTTGAAAGATCAAAAGTAATCCAGGTGTTCTCAAAGTGCAAGCTGACCAGCTCAGAGCACTGACTGTTTAACAGCATATGAAAACAGCAAAATGTGGCTGTATTCATCTCAAGATGGTGGCCCGCACAAAGCAAAGTTCCATCTCTGTGATCTGAAACTACACTACCATGATTTGGCAGTTCAAATGGCCACCTTCTTAAGTAGAACCCCAAGTTCTGCCCATTCAGGTTAAAAACCACTTAATTCTGTTCTTCATTAGACTACACAGGAGACTGAATTTCCATCTTTACAACACAAGTGACAAACACCTGGCACAGATAATCACCACTCTGCTCTCCTATGCTCATGTGGACACTGCTTTAGTCATGATGCTCCTTCACACCTTTCCACTGACCCAAGTCCAGAAGCCTTTCTTAGCACAGTGCAGCCATCACAATTATTTGAAGTTAGTCCATGAGATGAAATTTATCATCTTTGCCTTTACCGGAAAGCTCTCAACCTCAATAATATCAGATTTTATGCCCATGTAAATTACAAACAGCCTTAAAAGTGTCAGGAGAGACATCACAAAATATTAGATACAGGATACAGTATGTAACCCAGAGGCACAGGATAGTAAGAATAGAGGTCAGCATGGCACCCTTATCCTGGGACAAGTCCCGGTGGTTTAAAAACAAAAGCTGGCTGACACTAAAAATACACGGCCATCCTGCTCCCTACACCACTTATGCATGGAGTCTTGCTATGTATTCTTCCCAGCCTGCCCCTAGATTCTGGTTGAAAGCCGACTGTTTGTTCATGACCCCAGGTGAGTTTGGGAGTCTATACCGTATATGCCACACTGTCTTCTGCAGGGTCTTCAAGTAATAAAACCTATCCCAAAGTTGGTAGAAGTTCTGCAAAACATGTTTCATGGAGGTCTGGGACTAGGTATGAGGGGGACAAAAAAAGGATTTCATGCTCAAAAAACTTTGGAAATGCTGGGTTGATGGGAGGTTAATAGTTAATGCAGGACTTCCCAGAGCCATTAATACTGTGTGTCATGGAGCTCCAAGAGGAGTTTACAGTCTGTTTTGCAGAACCTCATCAGTTTGTAAACCTCTAGGGATTTCCATATGCAAGTCACTAGCTAAATAGGCAGACTACTCGACCAACTAGCAATAGAGGGCTATCACGTTGAGTATTGGAGCTTTCAATCCCCAAGTCCCTCTCTGCTCTCCTGGTTACTAGAAACAGACCAATCTAAATCACAGTAAACCCTGAAGGGAAAGGAAAGAAAATGTGGTAAAGAATCTTGAAAAAATGGAAATAACTGAGATTATTCTTATTCTAACATCACTCTTAACAATAAATCTTGACATTTTCCCATCTTAGCCAAGGTAAAGATTACTAACGCTCTCCCTGGCTCATGATTAAAACCAATTCTACTGTATCCTCCCACAGCACTTTGCTTACATTATGCATCTGGCTTGGGCAGTCATCTAAAAGCTCTCCTTAAAGGGCATACATTATTGATACCTGTTCTAGAAACTGTCTGCAGGAACTAGTGCAGGGCAGCTCTACATCCTAAAGGAGGCGCTAAACATACATTACTAGCTTATATCAAAGAACTTAACACCTGGAAGGAACTTGGGGTGATTTCATCTAACCCTGTCACTTGCTGAATGAAGAAACAGACCAAGACCTCTTAAATGTATTTGCCCACTGAAACAAACTACTTAGTAGCAGACGACTGGGACCAGGATCTGTCACTTGAGTTGGGGGAGACACACCACAGCCCTCTTGGGGACCAGTGCTTGTTCATCTGTGTGGGAGCTTTCCATGGCTTCTCAGTGCTGGAGGCAGAGACAATAAGGACAGATTCTACGGAGCTCACTTTTTCTTTCCTGAGAAATAGATGCAGATTTTGGGAGCTCAGCATATCACTGATATAAAAAACAGTGAGTTCATAAAAACAAAAACAAAGAAAAAAGCACAAATTACAGAGTAATGTTTATAAAGAGCTTCATGCCTTTCCCCTCTTTCTTCCTGGATTCCCTAAGCCTTGGAGAACTGGGGAAGATGACGAGCCAGGGACTGGGATTATTTAGAAACAAGTCACCTGACAAGGAAATCCCAGCATGTGCACCTCCCTGGCAAGAAGTCCCAAGGTATCCCGACTGTCCAGCGAGCTGCGTGACCCTCAGTCACTCATGCAACCCCTTGGGGTCTCTGTGCCCTCATTTATAAAACAAATACACTTGACAGTGATTCCCAAACATGGCTGATGCTCATCACTCCAGGAACTGGTTAAAATACAGTTTCCAGGCACCTCTACCCCCCACCCCCACCCCCGCTCCTGGCAGTTTGGGAATTGGCAATTTTGAGTGGGAGCCCAGGAATCTGTCTTTTTAAAAAGCTCAGCCAGGTTTGGGGAAGCTTGAACTAGATGGTCTGAAATGTCTCTCCAAGGCCCCAAGTTTCACTATGAAAATCTCTGCATAACCCCTGCTCTGGCTGCTCTCAGGGGGTGTGGTTAGGGGGACCTTAGGGAATTGGTAATCTGGGAGGAACCCTGCACAGAGAGAAGGGCATGGCTACTGCCTGGGCCCAGGTGTAATTACTCAGCAAGATAATATGCAAAGTTCTATATAATATTTAATTGGTTGCTGTGATATCATAGAAAGACCGAGAATCATAAAAGTAAAAAAACATAATATTTTTAGGACTCTAAGGAGCTGTTGCTTGTCGGTGGAGACGCTGTAGGAGGCAGAAGCGGGCTCGAGGTCCTGGTGGGGTCACTGGCCCTGGTCCTGGTGCCTCCTGCTCTTGCCCTTCTTCTTCTTGTCCTCCAGCCGTGGCTTCAGGGCACAGACACAGGCGGACACTCCGGCAATGGCCTTGGGCAGGTCAATGCCCTTGCTCCACTTGTTCTTCTCGCAGTCGTACACCTGCACCGTCTTAGAGAAGGCGGTGCTCTCCCAGCTGTAGCCACCCAGGATGTAGATGCGGCCCTGCCACACAGCCACGCCTGACTCACTATTGGCGTGCAGCAGGGGCGCCACGCGGGTCCACTGGTTGCACTGGGGGCTGTAGGCCTCGACGCCCAGGACATCAAAGCGCTCCATGGATTCAATGTTGTCATCGCTGCCCCCGATGGAGTAGATGCTGTCGCCCAGGCTGCACATGCTGTGCCAGCCGCGAGCCGTGGTCATGGGCCGCCGTTCCTCCCACACATCCATCCGGTGGTCGTAGCACAGCAGGTTCTTGCGGTAGGGGCCGATCTGGTAGTCATGGCCCCCCGAGATGTACACAAAGTCTTTGTAGATGGTGCCCGCATGGCCATACGTGAACCTGCAGGGAGATGGGCGGACACAGAGACAGAGAGGGGGCTCAGTGCTGCACCCAATTTAACCTCCGTGAGCCTGGGCCTGTCTTCTCCTCTGTGAAATGAGGATGACCAGCCCTCCTGGGGGTGGTGTGGATTTGACGAGACAGTGTGCAGAGCAGGCGAGTGCTGGGCCCAGTGCCACAAAAACCATTTATAGATGGTTTTCATCACTGGACAAGGAGTGGCTGAGAAGGGTGGGTAAGCGGCAGGCCCTGCAGGGAGATCCCTAGGGCTCACTTCCCAGCTCTGCCCCTCTCTGCCAAGGCCCTTCTACTCTGAATCCCCATTTCTCCACATGAACTCACTAAACCCAATGCCATCAAGTCGATTCTGACTCATAGAGACCTTATATGACAAAGTAGAACTGCTCCATGGGGTTTCCGAGGCTGTAGTCTTTAAGGAAACAGACAGCCACATCTTTCTCCCGTGGAGCTGCTGGTGGGTTTGAAGCACCAACCTTTTGGTTAGCAGCCATGCACTTAACCACTGCGCCACCAGGGCTTCTCCATGAGCTCACTACCTGAACTCAATTGATATTCACTCCCCGACCCTCAGCAACTGAACAGACTCATTTATGGAGGGATGCTTGTTTTAGCAGCGAGCTGACTTGCACTAAAAACAAACAAACCCAAACTAGTTGCCACTGCGTCAACTATGACCCCTGGCAACCCCAAGTGTGTGAGAGTAGAACTGTGCTCTATAGGGTTTTCAGTGGTTGATTTTTCAGAAGTAGATCACCAGATTTTTCTTCCTAGGTGCCTCTGGGTTTGAGTTCAAACTGCCAACCTATCAGTTAATAGTCGAGTGCTTAACTGTTTGCGCCACCCAGATGCTTGCACATGGACAGTCTAAAACCAGAGCCCACACTCCTCTCTCCACCATTCCCTCTGCCACTCATGTTCTACTTCCTATTATTTATAAGCCAGGAGATCTTTCTGGAATTAGAGAACAAAGTAGCCAGAAAGGCAGGTGGACTGAACTGTAACCCATAAAAATCCTTAAAAACCCCCAGTCACCTTGGCAAGCCAGCCACGTAGGACCAGGAGTCAGTTCTGGGACTGTAAGTCTCTACTGAAGAGAGAGCTCCGTTTTCATTCCGGCCACCAACGGCCACCAGCATGTCTTCAATGGAGGCAAGGTAGAAATCCACCCGGCGCTGGTTCATGGAGGCCACCTGTGGAGGCGAGATACCTTAACCTTCCCTTCCCCAAACCCAGAACAGCGTCAACATCTAGCACTGCGTTCCCCAAACGTGTTCTATGGAACACGCAGCCCAAGAAGGTACAACAGTGGCCAAGCGAGTTTGGGGGAAGGGAATTCAACTCCAGTAAAGAGGGGATCTTTATGCAGGACTTCTCAGAGCCCCGGAGGGCTCCTCATGAATGCCCGAGAGGGGGATGGAGAACATATTTCCCCAAATTCATCTGGTCACGTGGTCTACCTTGTGGACTAGAATTGTGCAGAACACATGGTTCAGAACTGCTGATTTTTAGTGGTTTCCTAAAATAAAAATTCATCTTTCTCTTCTTCCCCCTCATCAGATAATTTTTTAATTATTGCTGATTGCCAGCCATGTTAACAGAGCAGAAGAGATGCGCTCAATAGGAGATTAAAAAGTAGAAGTACCAAGTTTTCTTTAATAATCCAAGCAGAATACACAAATGAACATGGACCTGCAGGAGACCATACATTGAGGCTACCACTGCTGAAAAGCTTTTGAGGGCAGACTCCAAAGCTGGAAGTACGTTTCTATCTGATTCTTCTTTCTAGTGGCAAGCGTTAGATCCTAGAAAGTGGTACAGATCTTTGAGAATAAAATCAAAAGGTCATCTGGAGTCCACTCTGAGTTTTGAGCTCAGGAAATCATAGAGTTAAGTAAAAACACTGAGGTGTGAGTATAAACAACAAGACATATTTTTGTGGGTGGTGGCCTGGAGGGGCATTCATGGGAGAAAGGGAACATGGGCTTCTGAACATACCCCAGTGACCCTAGAGGGTCAATGTCCCACACCCATTTTCCAGAGAGGGAAGCTGAAATTTGGAGAAGGCAAAAAAACAGTCTAAACCCACCTGCCCCAAGCTACAATTTGGCCCAGTTGGGATGGGAACTCAGGTCTGACTCCAAGGCCCATGCCCTTCCCATAATTAGGCCATGATACCTGTTGCATGGCCCCAAATTGTACCTTAACATGAGCCTTTGTAGCCTCCTAAAACTAGCTCCAAAGCTTTAAAAAAAAAAGAGCTCCACAAAGACTCTGGGACACAGGAAAAGTTGTTGGAATTATGAGTCAAACGTTTGGACTTACACTACCCAATATGGCAGCCACTAGTGTGGAATGGCCATTAAAATTAAATTTAAATGTAAACTAATGAATTAAAATTAAATAAAATGGAAAATTCAGTGCCTTGGTCACACTAGCTACATTTCAAGAGCTCAATAGTCACACATGTCTGGTGGCTACCATGTTGGATGGCACAGATGTACAACATTTCTGTCAGTGCAGAAAGTTCTAGTGGGCAGTGCTGACCCTTCATAAGGCGGTCGGCATTCACGTTTCCAAACCAGAGTGTGGACTCTTAACTTTATTGTCACACCTTGTTCAGAAGCAGGACAGTGGGCAAGGCCAGAGAGAAGCAGGGGGGAAGTCAAGGTTAGGTTAAGGAAACCAACAGAGTCCTCAAGAGTAAAGAAATAATCTGGCTTTAATCTCACCTTGATCCACTGTTTACAGCGGGGGTCATACCTATAAAGAAGATTGGATGCTGCATCCCCTCCATTGTCTCGTGAGAAGCTGCCGCCGGCGATGAAGATGAACCCCCCCAGCACAGCAACACAGTGGTGGCTCCGCCGGGCCGGCAGCGGTGTCTCCTTGACCCACTGCTCGCTCTGGGAATCCAGGTAGCAGGTGTCGTCGCTGAGCTCCAGACACCGTTCGGAGACCTCGCCACCCACAAAGAGCAGGCGCTCCTCGTTGGTGCGCAGTGCCGTGCGCTTGGTCTGCATGACGGGTTGGGCAGCCAGGCTGTTATGGTAGCGCACCGCCTCCTCGATGAAGCCCTCGCAGTTGGCCTCCTTGGGCAGCAGCGAGCACACAGCTGGCTTGACACGGTGCAGTAGGTCGTTCTTGGGGATGAGTGGGAAGTGGATGTTCTCCAGCACCTGGTAGGCATGGGCCTCGCGCTCAGGCTGTTGTGTGAGCCACTGCAGAGCAGCCTGCAGCAGGTCATGCTCGCACTCCCGCTGTACCTGGCTGCTGCTCAGGTAGACACACAGCTTCTGCATGGACACGTTCTGCAGGAAGTCAGGCGTGAACGATAGTGTGCCAAAGTGGCTCAGGATGAAGCCGTCGATGAAGGCATCGAGCCGCTTGAGGCTGTAGATGGAGGCCAGCTCCTGGAGGTAGAGGTAGTTGTCCTCACTCACCTCTTGCTCCAGGTACTCGCAGCAGAAGTCCACCACCGTCCAGATCTGCAGGAGATGGGCCGTCTCCAGGATGTAGTCGATGTTGCCGCCATCCAGTGCCAGCTCACCACTGTACAAGAAGTCCACCACGGCCTTAAGCCCGATGTAGGAGGCGCCAATCAGCTCCACCTCCTTCTGGAAGGCCTCCCTCATGCCAATGGTGAACATGGAGTTGAAGTAGTCGCTGCACACGGCCAGCAGGTTGCGGTGGGCTGGCACACGCTGCTCATCTGCCACTAGGACGATGTCACAGAAGAGGCCACGGAGACGCTGCTCGTTGAGACGCTGCAGCACCGTGGTCGAGTGGTCGGCCCAGCGGTACACCTATGGCAGAAAGCTGACGTGAGGCCCAGGTTCCACCTGCCCTCCCATGGCCTGCAGGGTCCTAAGAGCCACCGGGGGGTCATGCCCAACATTTTAAATAAAGTGGGATGAAAGAGACAGTGTGTCAGATATCAGAGTGCATTGTGGGAAATCAGAGTGTATAGTCCTTCCTTCCCTCCTTCTTTCCCTCCTTCATTTTCCTTCCTTCTCGCCCTCTCTCACTTTCTTTCTTAATGTGGGTCATAAGCAAATAGGTTTGAAAAATGCTGACCCATCAGGGCACTGAAGTTGCTCAGAGTGGCCTCTAAAACCAGATACAATCTGAATCCCCATTCTGTCACTTACTATCTGTGATCACGTGCCTCGGGTGGACCCAAACCTCCAACCTTTCAGTTAGGAACTGAGTACAGTAACCATTTGTACCACCCAGGAACTCTACACACGGATATCTCTGTTTATTCTGTTTATACACAGACAGCCATGATGGCCTAGTAGTTCTGGCTTCTAATTAAACAGGATGATTCTGGGCTCTGACAGATACTAGCTTGTCCACAGACCCCTCTCAGGTGTGGATTAAAGGAAGGAAATGAGAAAGTACTAGAATAGCAGGCTATGGATTAACAGTAAAGGCTGAGTGTCTCGACAGAAGCAAGTGAGGGGCCATCAGGTGGTTTGCCCACCCCAGGACCCCTGGTTGTCCCATGGTAGTCTCCTGGGACTGTTCATCCCATGGTAATCCCCTGGGACCGCCACACTTAGATGGGAGGTACACACCACCCAGGCTTCAGTGTTAAAAGAGAAACAGCCCCAGGGATGGGGACCGTGGGAAGCAATGGGCAACAGCTACTGAAGGAGACTATCTTCTCCAGCGAGCCAGGGCAGGGGAAGAGGGCAGCCGCTGTTTCTAAAACTATGTCTCCATACTCAGCAGGCACGCTTAATTCTTTACCTGTGTCTCGACTACAACCCACATCTGATATTTTAGTGTAGCTGCAGAGATGACAACTTCAAACAAACAAACATGATTTCCCAGTTTTAAAGGGACATCAGTAATGGTATGTCAGCATTTCATATAATTTAGAAACTCTAACCCCCACATTAAAGGAGCCCTGGTGGCATAGTGGTTCAGCACTCGGCCGCTAACCTAAAGGTGAACAGTTCAAACCCACCAGCCACTCCACGGGAGAAAGATGTGGCAATCAGTTCTGTGAAGATTACAGCCTTGGAAACCCATGGGGCAGTTCTACTCTGTCCTACAGGTCACTATAAGTCGGAATTGACTCAACAGCAACCAGTTTGGTTTGGTTTTTTGGAATCCCCACATTTTCTGATGGCATTAAACCCCATTCATTCCTATATTTCTTAGTTTAGTGCCTAAATCAAATGCAGGCAGAGTAGGTGAAGAAAGACAGGTACTCAGGGACTAACACTGAAGAGAATACAGTGGGTTTAACCTCACTGGATTATATATTAAAAAAGAACTTAGCACTAAAATAGATCAGCATGTTCTGGAGTAGATAAATCAACAAGGTAGTCACACAATGAAGACTCCACAGCTCTGAGCATGAACAATCACTGCTACATACACAACAGTGCAGATGAGTCTCCCAAGCATAGTGTTGAGTGAAATAAGCCAGGCACACAAAAGCACCTACCCTATGATGCCAGTTAAATCAGGCAAAGCTAAACAATAGTGTTAGAAGTCAGGAGAGTGGTTATCCAGAGTGTAGGGACTGGAAGGGGGATGATGGGGGGCCCTAGGGGTTGGTAATGTTCTGCTTTTTTATCTGGGTGCTGGCTACATGGGTGAGTTTAATGTCTAAACATTTGAGGGTTCACTTATGATTTGGGCACTTGTTTGTATAAAAAGTTAGAAATATAAATACAATCAACCAAGGAATAGAGAACCCTATTTCTAAAGGCCTAGATTCAGAAACAAACAAACTCAGAATCTGACTTGTAGGACAAAGATTTCCAGTGCTATCAAACTTAGAAAGCCACACTGTCTTCACAGCCAAGCTCCAGAACAAAGCCCCTTTGAGAGAGCCGCAAGACCTTTCTGAGTTTTCACAGCAGATAAAGCCGGGCTTGGCAAAAGCCTTCTTGGTAAACTCAGATGGGAATAGGAAACTGTTTCTTAAAAGAATCAACCTCTCTTGAAAAAGACACCCCATTTTTTCTAACACACATCTGCAGACCTCTTTTTTTTTTTTTAAACAAATCTATAGGATGCTCATAACTCCCCTTATGTAAAGCAATGTTTTTCAATCATCTTTTTCATTATCACTCCCCTAAAGAGCTTTTATTGAGCCCTTATAGATATTTTTTCCTAATAACCTCCCATGAGATGTTAATACCACAGTAGATATACCATGTATCTGCTTATGTGCTGTATGTACAGCTATGCTTTACACATAAAAAGAGTAACATTTTTTTCTGCATCTCCCAAGAACTAATTTTTACTCCCTTGGGGGCAATATCACTCCCGTTGGTAATGCATATTGAACATAACCATGGAGTCCCTGGGTGGTACAAATGGTCAGTGCATTCAGCCGCTAAACGAAAGTCTGGAGGTTTGAGTCTACCCAGAGGCACCTTGGAAGAAAGCCCTAGCTATCTACTTCTGAAAAATCAGCCACTGAAAACCTTATGAAGCACAGTTCTACTCTGACACACATGGGGTCACCATGAGCCAGAATCAATTTGACGGCAACTGGTTTAATTGGTTTAAGGCAACCATAATTTAATCTCTAAAAAATGGCACTTTTAAAGAAAGGGGGCACTATTAATATTTATAGCAGGAAGACAGGTGTAAATAGGGACTGTCCCCCAAAATCAGTCCCCCAACATTTATCTATGGCAGCTGTGGGGCAGGGGTTGTTCCAAACCACCTGGGGAGCTTGCTGAGGTACAGATTTCCAGGCTCCACTCTCAGATTTTAATTTAGCAAGTCTAGGGTGGAGACGGGCACATGTATTTCTAATTAGACACCCTCTGCCTCAGGGTGATTCTAATGCAGACACCGGTTGGTAGCCTGACCCTGACCCACCCACACTTGCTCTTACGGCCCAGAGTCAAGACCAGGGAGTATCTGGGCCCTTAACATCCAGGCATACAACATGTTGTCTCCACTCCAAGGTGGGAGGCTGGAGGCTTGGGTTCTCAATGGACATGTCCTTGGAGTCTTTGAGTCCCCCAAGTGGGGAAAGACAATTCCATGAGCTCTTACTCTGTCCCATCCACCTCTTAGGGTTGATGTGAGAGACAAACAGCAAAGTGGCTGGAATGCCACTCTGAAAAACAAGACAACGTCTGGGCAGTGTCTCTAAAGTCCCCTGCGCTTGCAGCCTCCTGATTTAATGACTTTTTCGGCTCCTTGACCATTTCTACCTCTACTTATTGTTAAGGATATTAACACCACCAACAACAAAAAAATCTATCTGTAAGTTAAGAATGAGTTAATTGGAAAAAGCTTTGCCCTCCTCTGATGATTTCCACAGGTGGTAAGCAATAATTCACAGACCTTTGAAGATTCGCTGATCTTGTATGGCCGAGACACTCGCGTCTGCCTGCTTCCCTCCATTGTGAATGGGATCGCAGCCCTACAACAGGAACAGGATTTCTGAGCGCATAGTAATAACTCCAGGTCATTCATGAACTGCAGGCCCTGCCAGCAGACATCAAGAGCAAGCAAAAGCGAAAACAGTCACACAGAGGAAAGAGGGAAAGCAGCAGTGGACTATAAAGAACTCGTGTACGCTTTGAGTTGGAAGAATCAGGTTGTTAGAAAATTTAACGAGTGATCCTTTACCATCTAAAACACGAACAACACCAGTCTTTTAGCTCATGCCCTGCAAACACCTACTAGTTGATGCTTGATCTCAACTGGGCCTTTTAGGTAGATCAAGGTCATAATGATACTAGTTATCATTTTGGAGCCCAGCCTATGACCTTGGAACCAAGCAAAGGGACTTATATGCATCATCTTATTTAACTCCCATAACTCCTTTGCCAGGCTGATGTCACTCATCCCTTGTTATAGATGAGGGTATTGACCTCAAGGTCATATAGCTAGTAAATGGCTGAGAATCAAACCATGGTCTATCCAACTCCAAAACCCAGACTCTCACCATGATGCTCTGCTGAAGGCAGCACAGTCTTTGACAGCATCACACTTTATTATGATAAAGTGAAGGATATGATACAGTGATGACTAACATGTATACAGTGTATTCCAGACACAAGCACTGTCCTGAGTGCTTTTATATGTATTCACTCATTTAAACCCCACAACAATCCCATGAAGCAAATACTGTTATTATCCTCATTTTACAGAGCAGGAAACGATGGCACTGAGGTGAAATGACCTACCCAGTGTCACACAGCTAGAAGTGGCAAAACCAGGATTCCAAGCCAGGGAAGCTTCCATGCTCTTAATCCCTACACTACACCACTTGGCCATAAAAAAAGCCCAGGATTAGCAGACCAATGTTGGGGCCTATGCCCTGCCTCAAACATCCAGCATAAACTTAAGCAAGTCTGCTAATCACTCTGTACCTCAAGGTCAAGTCTATAGAATGTGCTGTACCAGATGATGTTAAGGTTTCTTCCAGCTTTGAAAGCCACAAAGCCAGGCTTTGGGGGACCTTAGGGATTGAGGGGGCACAAGTCACATACTGGGATCAAGTTTTTAAGTAGGAATTTTTTTTTCTGCTTAGTTCACGTGACCAGTCTTTGATTTGCTACCTATGGAACAAACCAACTTTGCTAACAACGTGACAAGAAGTCAGCACTGTCCCAAGATAAGTGCGAGCACACGGGGTTCCAGCATTCCAAGGGAGGTACGAATGCAACACAGTCCATCCTGTCTGACTCCCTGGGGGAAGAAAGGACAACTAGATTTCTTTTGATAAGCTAGCAACTTTGTGACAATGACAAGCTGTACCCACCTTGTCCTTCCTGACCTCCCCCAGGCTGCTGGGTCTCTCAGAGATGGAGCAACCAAAAACCAAACTCATTGCTGTCGAGTAGATTCCAACTCATAGAGACCCTACAGGACAGAGTAGAACTGCCCCATAGGGTTTCCATGGCTGTAAATCCTTACAGAAACAGGCTGCCACATCTTTCTCCCGCGGAGGGGCTGGTGGGTTCTAACCGCCGACCTTTCCCTTAGCAGCTGAGCGCTTAACCACTGCACCACTGGGAACCAGCATTCCTGCAGTGCTTACTGCATGCCCCTGACTTTCTCATTTCAGCTTCGCCAAGACACTGAGACAGGTGCCATCACCATTGTCACGCCAAGGACACCCAGGCTCAGGAGGCTGAGGGGCTTCCCTGAGATCACACAGCAGAAAGCAGCAGACCTCTCCCCCACCCCCCAGCACCCCAGGCAGCCAGTCATGGCTCTCTTCTGCCCTCAGAGGCTTGTTCTTTTCTAGGCCAAGATTTCTAGAGAGTTTCCCTGTTGCTGGAGAATCCAGTCTTTTGTCTCCTGGGTAGTAGCTCAGGGCAGATTTCTACCTGAATGCAGGGTGTCTGGCGCTCCCATCCTTTCTGGAAGCAGGTGAGGAGGTCAAGGCCATCCACATGCACACTAACAATTCCCAGTTGAGTTTAAAAGGTCTTTTAATAAACATGGGAACCTGGGCGATGTGCAGTACGAAGGATCCCAGGGGAGCCTCCTCCCCGGTTTTCTACCCTGAACCTGCCCGACCTCAGCGCTTGGGAAAGATAACGCTGTTGGCACGAGCATGACGCCCGTCAGCACTCACCCGTACGGATCTCGCCGGCAGGGTCTCTGGGGACGCCGCTGTCGCTCCCTCGGACAAGGCACCCCTGGCGGAACAGCCAGCACAACGGCCACCCGGCAGGCTCGAGCCGGCTGCGAAGGGCGGAGGGAGGCGGAGTTGGGGCGCGCCAGGCCCGGAGCCCGCAGGAGGACGCGGGGACTCACCTGCGGGTCGCGCCGTGGCAGCCGCAGCCCGCACCTGTCTCACCTGCGGGGGCGACGGCGCCCCCCCACCCCCTGCGGCGGCCGGGCCGCTGCGCCCCCTTGCACTCCCCTTACCTCGCCCGCCCGTTCGCACCCACCCGAGCTTACAGGGGCGCGGGGGTTGGGATCCCACAGCTCGAAGGGGCGGGGACCTTCCCTCTCCAGGCCCCCGCCCCGGCCCTTCGACGGCGCGCGTGGCCCGGCCGGGTCCCGGGGCTGGCTGGCTGGGTAGGTGGGTGAGCGCGCGGAGACCCACCTAGGAGTGCCCTAGGGGCGCGGCGCGGCGGCCC